GGGGGGACGGAGCGGGGATGACGGAGAGATAGGGGGGATGTCGGGGTGGGGATGCGGGGGATGTGGGATGGTGCGGGAGGGGGCGCGGGGGGGATTGGGGGACAGAACGTTGGGAAAAGAACGCGGGGTGGGAATTGGGGGGGGGCAGAGTGGGGGTGTAATATGAGAATGGAGGGGCTGGGGGGACAGTGGGGTGTGGGGCAGAGTGCATAGGGGATAACGGAGTGGGGGGGCTGCAGGGCGTGGGACGGGGGGATAGGAGGCTGGGTGGGAACTGATGGACGGGGGTACAGGGTGGGGTGAAAGGACAGTTTGGGGTGTGCTGTGAGAAGTGAGGGACTGGTGGGGCAGGTGGGTGGGGGGCAGCTTCGGTGGGACTTGATGGACAGGAGGGACAGAGAGGGTGTGGGAGGGGGACGCTGCGGGAATTTGAGGGAGAAAGGGGTGGGAAAGCAGTGTGGGAACTGCGGGAGGGGGAACGCAGGCTGGGCAAGGAGACAGTCTAGGGGTTGTACTGAGAACTGAGGGTCCAGATGGTGGGGCAAGTGACTGGGGGATGTGAGGGAAGCTTTGGTGGGACAGGATCCAATTGGGGTGGGGGAGAGGGGTGGTGTGGGATCAGAGGTCAGAGTGCATGTTGGGGGGGGAAAGGGACAGTGCTTGTGTACAGAGACATCTGAGACCTGGGAACAGAGTTAGCGAGAGTGCAGAGATGGAGGTAAATGTGGGTGAGAGGGGCAGGGTGTGAGGGGGGGGGGCAGTTTAGGTGGGAGGTGAGGGAGTGGGGGGGGCAGCATGGGCTGAGGGGGGATGGTGAGGTGGGGGTCAGTGTGGAATTAGAGTGATGGGACAGCGTGGGATGGGGCACTGTGTGTGGGGGGGGGAACTGTCACAGCACGGGGATGGAGGGGTTCAGGGAGCTGGGGATGGAGTGGGAGTGACTGAGAGCGAGGATGGAGGGGGCGGCTGGGGATTACAAAGGGCTGGAGAGGATTTCATCAGCAGCAGCATTAGTGATTCTGACCACAGGCCACAGTGCGCTGCCAGCAGGGAGCCCGCAATGCTCAGGCATTGCAAAGGGGCCCGAAAGACCCCTGGGGAGCTGATGGCACCCCCCCTCCATCCAAGCAGCATTTGTACAGGGAAACTTGTGTGTGTTTATTTATTGATGAAGGGGAGGGGTCTAAAGATAGCGGTTCCATCCCAAAATGAGGTAATCCACAGGAACAAGAATCCCTGCGCTGCTTCTCTGCCTGCTACCGCTGCTCTCCTGTGGGGCTGCAGCAGTGCCTACAGCTCAGTGCTGGGCACGGTCTATGGGCAGCGGGGAGCACTGAGGTGAACATCCCCCCTTCCCTCTACGTTCTCTCCTCTTCTCCCAGCCGGCCGTGCTGCAGCAGCAGTGCATGAAGGACAGATCGCGGGGCGGGTGGGAGAAGGGCGGGCAACACACGGCCCATCCATCGCCACAGGCACCGCCTCAGCCGCCCCGGCGCTCCGCCGCCGCGCACCGCCCGCGCCTCGCGCTCTCCCCTCAGGCACAAAATGGCGGCGGCACTCAGCGCCTCGTTCCCGCGCGGTGGCAGCGGGGTAGGAACCTTCGCGGCGCGGAACTCACGGGCGCGGGGAGCAGTTTCCGGGCCGGCCCCACCGCCATGGCCGAGGGCTCGGCGGAGCTGGAGCTGTTCCGCCGGCGATGGCGGGAGGAGCTGGCGGCGGGCGGCAAGAAGCGGAGGCGGGAGGCGGCGGAGGGGCCCGGCGGGACGGGGAGGGACGGGTCGGGCTGCCTGGCGTTGGCCTGCGGCTTGCTGGACGGCGAGAGCCCGGCCCCGAGCAGCCCTCCGCCCGCCCGGCCCCGCGAGGAGGCCGTGAGGGATGAGGCCGACGACCTGCTGGGACAGCTCATCCGAGACCTGGTAGGGCGGGCTGCGGGGCGAGGCCTGTCCTGTTGTGCTGGGGGCCCGGGGGGGGGGCGTCAGAACGTGTGCGATCTCGGGCTGCGCGTGCCCCGTAGCCCTACGGCTGGATTTTCCTTCCTGCAGAGCGGCTTTGTGGCGTTTTGCTTTAAGAATTTCGGTTTCTTTTCTGCTCCTTACTGAAGCCCCTCCAGAGTAGGTGTGTCGGATCCTCCGTGTTGTGACTCTGCTGCACAGCAGGAAAACAAGCGTGAGTTCTTTGCATAGAAGAGTTAATAGGGAAGGAGCCTTAAGTACGGTTCTGAGCCCATTAAAAGTTGTGGTGGCAAATCCTTCAAACGCAATGGAGTTTTTATTTGCAACTATGGGGAGACCCGTTTTTCTCACTGTCTGCACTGTGGCTGTTTGCTTTTTACTTTAAAAAACATATATAAATAAAAAAGAGCAGATTGAAGTTCTGCCTGCAAGGCATAGATTGATGCCTGCAAGGAATCAGCTCTCCATTGGCCCCTAGGAACCTGTCTAGGGGAGCAGCAGTCCCAGGGCTGTGCTTCTCCAGCACTCAGCCAGGTCACTGCTGCTCACCAACACTGATGTTAACACTTAGCACTCTTAATATCCCATTAGAATTGAGTTCTTATGTTCACAGTGCACAAGAATTGTGTTCCTGATGCTCACTGTGAGCTGCACGTTCTCCTGTAGGTTAGTTTATAAATCTACTGTAGTCCTTTTTGCACTTTTCCCTGGGTGAGCTGTCCTTGCTGCGCAGTGCCTGTGCTGGCAGGGCTGTAGGCAGCCTTGTATGTTTGGTACACATGGACAGTCTGGGTTCTAGTTGGCTGTGGGTCAGCTCCAATTTGGAAGCAATGTACTCATAGTGGTGCTGTGCCCAAGCCCATAAGCCCAGGGCTAAGCCCTGCTCGTGGCTTCTCTCTTTCATTTGGGCTGTGTGGCTTCAAGAGCCAGGCTGGTTCACATCTGCCCAGCTCAGGCTCTGCCTGTGTGTGGCCGTGGCAATGCACTTGGAATCCATTTATTTATTTAGTGTCCCCTTTGGAGATGGAATCAGTTAAAGCCACATGGAAACAGTGTTTGTGCAAACCCACAGTGGGGAGCAGTGCCTGTGGGCCTCGTTGGGAGAGGAGAGAAGGGATGCAGCAGGAGGGCCACTGCAGGCTGCCAGCAGCCTCAGCACATGGGCCGGGTTTGGTGCTTAGAGGCTGCTGCTGTCCTGCTGAAACAGCCCAATGGGAGCAGTGCCCATCTTTGTGCTGTCTGCACACTTGTCTCTAGCGTGTGGTACGCTTTGCATTAAAACCTTTAAGTGTATTATACAATAATTTTCCTGTGTAACTGGAAACCTGGTGTTTGTTTTGCCACTTTATTGGTGCTGCAAAGAGACCAGGTTTTAACGACCAAGGTGCTCGTGTAGAAGAGACCTGCTGAAAAATGAAGTTCTTTGGGCCAGAGAAGTGCTAAGAGTCAGAGTACAGTCCCAGCCTGGCATACGTGGAGACTGCTGGGGAGACTGTAGAAACACAGCATGGTTGGGTTGGGAGGGTTCTTACAGCCCCCTACAACCTTTGCCCTGGGCTGGTTGCTCCCACCAGATCAGGCTGCCCATAACTTTTGGTACTATTTGGTTATACAATAAAGAAGCCTAAGAAATTATTTTCTTTGTTTTTCCAGAATGAAATCAATGAGGTTCCTTTCTTTGATGTCCATCTGCCGTATGAACTGGCATTGAAGATATTTCAGTATCTGGGAAAGGCTGAACTGGGAAAGTGTGCTCAGGTAAGCGGTGCTGGCAGTTTGCTTTCCACATCAAATGAGCACGTGTGCTCAAGCAGCAGTAAGGCACTGTGATGCAGGGAATGTGTGTGTTAGTCCTAGTGGCTCAGCTGGTTGTAGTTACTGGAAATTCTTCCCAAACTGCATATTGAAAAGTAATATTATAGCCTCCAGTCAAGCATAGCTAACCCAAACATTTGTGACTTGCACATAACCAAGACCTTATAATTTAAAAGAAATGCTTGCAAAGGTCTTTTAATTCAAGCAAGTGTAGTCAGAAGCAGGTGACAGTGTTGCTGCAACACTGAGAGCTCAGCACTCAAGAATGGCAATAAAGCTGCTCTCCCCCAACACTTCTCAGTTGACAGGCGTTGCAGAGTAGCAATTTTTTCTCTTTAGTAGTTTCACACAAAGCTAAATTCTTAAGTGATACTGATTTCCTACCCCCTTCTCCTGGTTTATAGCATTCTGTGGCATTACTCTGCAATAGCACTTTCACAGTGTGTTCTCTGATGTAGTTCTTGTGTCACCACTAACTGCCTCTCTCTCCAAGTGGCCGTACTAACTTACACACAGCCAACTGTACTTAGACTACTCATCTGCTGTTCTTGAGCCTCTGTCTCCTTTCTTTGCGCAGTAAAAGATGAACCTCCTCTCTGAATGAGTCTCCAAAGCAAACTTAAATCAGCAAGTGCTGATTACCCTGTAAAATAGTGTTGTGAATGTGAATTGCCAGCTTCTCCCATCATCGCTGTTTAGTGCTTCAGGCTGGTGTTCATTGAACTCTTATGTACAAAACACGTCTTGCTGCTGCTTAAAATCCAATCAGAATGCTTCTTTCTGTGACACTGGAAATACTCCCTGGACAGTTTGTTAGATAAAGAAATGTTAATGTGTACAGCAGGGTAAAGCTTTGTAGTGGATGGCAAGCTTAATGCAATCATTAACCGAATGACATGTGCACAGAAATTAAATTAGTCTTTGAACCTAGAGTCTGAGCAAGTCACAGTTTTAAGCAGTTATGGGTCTTTATTGCTTAAATCTTTGACTTGCTAATGACTTGTAGGAACAGGAGCTGCTAGAAGAGAAGTACTTCCTCTCATGGGGCTGCTGGTGCAAAAGAAAAACATTCTATGGAATGATTCTTGGTGCTGTCTAGAAGAATGAAGCTTTCAAACAGCCTGAGTTTCAGTCATTTGATACAGGGAGATGCAACCAGTTAAGGCCACGTTCCACAAAATGGAACAGCATTGCATTTGGGGAGTTGATCACTTTTAGTTTAGTCTCTCTCTTTTGTTTCTCTCAGGCCTGATCAGTTTACCTCGTGGTGTAGCAAAAAGCCTGGCTGCTACAGGGCTGCTCCTTTTCTCTGCGTTGAGCTGCACTCAGTTTCTCTCTCTCACATTTGTTTTAAATTTGAATCTGTTCTCAGAAGATGTGTTTAACACTCAGCAGATTTTCCACGTTTCTCATTTGCTTACAAAGACTGAGTCAGATGCTCCTTTGTGGCAGCTGACAGGTAGCTGAGCACATGCCCAGTGCTTTACAGGCCTCTCTGAACAAGATGGGTATCCAATGCTTTTCGTGCAGAGCTGGCTTCTTTTGACGTGTTTAAATAAAAAGAGGAGCAATAAAAATAAATGCCGTTTTCATTTTTCTCTTGGTGATTTTGCCTTGTGAAGGGAGGCGGGGGAAAGCCCTCTTCTGTTAAATGGAAAGCCCTGCTGCTTTACGTTGTTAGCTTAGAAGGGTTTTTTTATTAAGGCGCCTTGGGACTTCAGTGAAATTGGGCCAGCCAGTGGAATTGGCATTGTGAACTATGCGAGTGCCTTTGGAGAAAACCTGTTCGCTTAGTTCTTTAAGCCAAATTGGGAACCAACTAACAGCACAGTAGCGTGACTGCAGAGTCTCTTTGAGATTTAATCACATCAGACTGCTCTGGAGAAGTTTAATTTCACCCTGATATTTCCCCCTCCCCCTCTTTCCCGCAGCTTTTCTTTGATTTTTGGAATTAGTACCATAAAACACAAGCTATCTGTATGACACTTGGAACACTGAAGCCATGTGCAGCACATCAGTTCATGGTGTCACCAGTTCCTGAGCTGTGCTGGGTGTGCAGGACCCGTGTGAAGCCCACTGGTGTCCAGCAGACCAGGCCCTACTGATATCCCCTATTTTCAGCGAGCAGAGAAAGGTGTCTGGGGCTCAGTGCCTCAGCAGCGTTGCAGTGCTTTTTCTCTCAGCTTCGCACTGGCCCTATGGACAGTTAGGAGAACATTTTGATTGATTTATTTTTTGTCTGGCTGTTAGAAGGAGGATCCATGCAATGAGTGACTCTTGTGACTGCTGAGATGAGAATCTGAGAACAGGTTCTCCTTCATTCTGGCTCTACAGTGGAGGAAAAAGGGAAAGCAATCACCTGGGCCACTATGGCACATGGAATACATCAGAACCCTTTGTGTTATTTGGGGCTGGTTCTGCAGGGCTCGTGGCCTTAGGGTCTGGCCTCAAACTGTCGGCTTTAGGACAAGGCGATGTGTCCGGTGTGTGAAGCTCTGTGCTCTTCAGTTGTGTTAGTGCTCTCTAGTAAACACCAGAGGCTGCATAAATTACATTTGGTGATGGGAAACACTTCTAGACAGCGTGCATTGAATTTTAGCAACACTAGGGCAGAGTTCTATTTCTGAACAGATCAGTGGGAAGTTGTCTTTGAACTGCTGGTGTTCTCATCTGCGAGACGCTTGGAAATGTTTACTAACACAGCAATTGTGTATGTATCTAGGACAGAAGAGCCTGTTTCTAGGAATTTAAGAATGAATTGTCTTGCGCAGATCAAGAATTTCAGATGCTTGCTGTTAAAGTGTCTGGAATTGTCGAGTGTTCAGAAATCTGAAAAATAAAATCTTAGGTATTTTATGTTCATTCTTTTTTATCGTGATGGTGTACAAATAATCGCCCCCTGTCCTCTCAGCTAGGGGAGAGAGAGCAGAGAAAGGGGTGGATGAGGATTTCCTGAGCTCGGGGGCTTAGGAGGAGACTTAAAATAACATTATGGCTGCGAATTGAAAAGATGAGCAGCTTCCACCTGGTAAATGTGCATCTGAATGGCTTTGGCTGAAATACTACTTGGCGCTAAGCATTGTACTGAATTGAAAGTCCAGATACTTCAAAATGAGGCCCCTGGATTCAGCAAATGAACCTTGAGTCTATCTTTGTGTGACCAGAGAAGAAAACAAACCTAATGAAGCAAAGGCAGTTATCAGATGGGGAGGGATGAATAAACCTTCATTAGGATTTAAGCCAGTTGATTAAGACAGGATTAGAAGAGTTCAGGATTCAATGGAAGAGGTGGATTTCTTCGGTTACTTTGTTTCGCTGGCTTTTGCAAAAACAAGTAATAATAATAAAAAAATCCCCAGACACAAAACCAAACAGCAAAACCTATGTCAGCAAAAGCCTCTGAAGTCCTTCAGAGCATTATTCCTTGCTGAACTCCAGGCAGAAAATTGTTCCTCTGCAGAGCTCAGGGGAAACCAAAGTTGCCTTGAGAATCATAGTAAAACGATAACAGGAACACTAATGACAAAATTAAATTGCAGCCTCTAAATCTATAAACAACCCCATAAGATGTTGTTATTGATCACTGTAGGAGCTGGCATGGAGTGTAAATTTGGAAATAATTATGCCTGTCATTTCAGAAGAGCTTTGTGTGCAACAGCTTCTCTCCAACAAACAGAATGCGTGGGTGCATGCAGATAAAGCTGTGATGCTGCGGCTTTTGGGGCCTCACCTGAAACCCCGATTCAGGCAGCTCCAATAAAGCTGACTTGGAGCCAGTGGCTGGTTTTAATGTGGCAGCTCACAGTGGTGCTGTAAAGCAAAATGCTCGAGATACTTTTATTAGAGGGCTCTTGCAGCTGAGGCTCGCTCAGTGGGGCTTTTACAAGGGATTGCCATGCCAGTTTTGGTGCGTTAAGAAAAGGCTGCGTTGGGGACCCGTTGGAAAGTCGTGCCTGTAAAGCAGCAGGATTCGATGTAATTTGATTTAAAAAAAAAAAAAATCATAATAGGATAGGATCTCTATTCCCTTTGAATGTTTATTCCTGAAAGCTGAATAGGCATCTAGATTTTATGTGATTGTCTTCCCCTTCTCCTTTTTTTTAACTGTCTTTATGGAATACTTTTATGTCCTTGAAACCAGAAAGGTCTGCACAAGCACTGTCTGCTTTGGCAAACTCTGGTGGTGTTTTTCCTTTTTATTAATTTTATTTCTTTCCAATTGAAGCAATCAAAAGTGGGCAGAGTTGGGCTTGTTGGAGTTGATGCACAGACAGAAGCTGCCTCGTGGCTCTGCTGGGCGCTCTGCTGCTTTGTGGGGACACCAAACGCTGCTCGGTTTTTCCTTTGAGCACTGTGGGTTTATACTGCTTTAAAATCAACTTCAGAGCAAATTCCCCATGAAACTCTAGCAGTTTGAAAAAATACATATATTTTTTTTACTTTGAGCTTCCTGAGTGTGTCCCTGCAGCGACAGGAGCGTTACACATGAGTTTTTGCTTTTGTAGCACTTGATGACACACAGTGCTAGAGGTGCCCAGGGCTGTTTGGTAATTTGTAAGGCAGCATTGCCCTAGCCAGGTTGCTCTCTTTGGTGGTGGAGAGGGGTTGTGTGTCTTCTGAATGTTTTGGAGGCTGAGTGGAATTGTGGAATGCTAGCTGCTGGGTTTGGTATTCCTGTTTGAGTGCTGCTCTTGTGTGCAGGTATCAGATCCTAAAATACCTACAGGTTGCTCTTTTTGCTTTCTTTCCTGAAGGAAACCAGTCATGAAACATGATGCAATTCTTCCTTCCTAATGGGACAGGATGTTGGATTTTGAAAGCACAACTGTGATGTGTGTCTTACTCCAACAAGCCCAATGGAGGCAGCACAGTGTAAATAAACCAGCCAGAAGCTTCACGGTGTTCTCAGGGCTTGTTCTGAGTCAGAGCTGCTCATTGCTGAGCACAACCTGCTGCTGGGGCACTGTGGAGCATGCAGGGACTTCTTGCAGCCCTGCACCAGCTGCAGGGTTCTCACAGCTTCACTGTTCCTCCTAACCTACGCCACTTTGTGAGGCTGTGCTTTGTGTTTAACAGCTGTGTTTCTAGCAGGGCTGGAGCAAAGCATGCGTGTTGATAACAAAATAGAAAGGGGGTTAATTTTATTAAACAGGGTGTGAGTAATGCAGTTAATTTCTTCCTTCTGTGCTATGCTGTGTCAGCGTGGAAGCAATGGCAAGTAGGCATGGGGTGATGGGTGCTGTGGGGTTCTGTATCAATGCAAGACCTAGATTTTTGGTGTAATCTTGGCACTGGGGACTTAATTGTAAACAGCTAAAAATGATGTCAGCCCAAGAAGCTTTTTTTTTTTTTTTTTTTCAGTCTTCTGGAAGCAGTGTCCAATTGATTACTGCTTTCACTGGCAGCAGTTTTCATTGGTTAAATTTGTTTTTTGTTTTTTGTTTTTTTTTTTTAAATTAAGAGTTACAGAGTACAGATGCTACTTAAGTTGCCTCTCACCTCTTGAATCTTTAATTCTCAGCCCACAATTGGTTATGATGAAGCGGCTTTCTCTGAAATGGACAGCAACTTGAGGCCACTTGAAAAACTTAATAATTCATTCCTATTTATGCATACTGTAATACAATAGGTTATAAATCACTAATGTCACCCGGCCTAATCAGGCATTGTCAGTAGGGTGGTGGCGTGATCTGCAAGCTTTTCTTAATAACAAATGTGAAAATAAACTCATATTTTTGCTCAAAGCTTACAACGCTGCCTTAATTGTTTTCTTGTTCCCTTTCCTTTCCAAATTTTCTGTGGCGCTGATGTCAGATGTTAGCAATGTGGCCACCAAATGCTGGTATCTGTGTTTTGTGCAATTTTAGCAGAGGGGAATCTGAGTATTTTGACCGAGTTTTTCTCTAAAGAATCAACAGAAATGTTATGTGTTGTTTTAGAATAATCAGAGGATGGCCTGGGTTGCAAAGGAGCACAATGCTCATCAGTTCCAACTCCCCGCTGTGTGCAGGTCACCAACCAGCAGCCCAGGCTGCCCAGAGCCACATCCAGCCTGGCCTTGAATGCCTGCAGCGCTGGGGCATCCACAGCCTCCTTGGGCGACCTGTGCCAGTGCCTCACCACCCTCTGGGTGAAAAACTGCCTCCTAATATCTAACTTAAACCTCCCCTGTCTCAGTTTAAAACCATTTAAAACCATTCCCTTTGTCCTATCACTGTCCACCCTCGTGACCAGCCATTCCCCCATTTTATACAAAATCTGACATGATTCAATGTGAGATACATAGGTATGTTTGGTTTCCAGGTCAGCAGAACATGGAAAGTGCTCGCAGAAGATGAAGTGCTGTGGTACCGGCTGTGCCAACAGGAAGGATACCTGTTGGGTGTGAGCATCTCTGATCGGCCCTGCTGGAAGCTGGCCCTGAAGGACTGCCGTGCCAAAGAGCGTGCTCTGCGAACCAACTGGAAGGTAAAAGGGAGAGACTGGCCTAATGGGATCCAGATGCTGGAGAAAAATGGGAACCTGGTTCAAACAAGTGGCGGTGAAAAGCTGGTCTTCTGTATTGCAGCTTCTTTTGGCTAGTTAAAAGGGGAAAGCTGCTGAGGGATTTATGAGACTTTGCCCCAGCTGTAAGACTTCTTATTTTCTTGATGGTCAGTTGCTTTTGGGAACGGGTCTCTGTTTGCAGCTCTGTTCCCGTGACTTTGGTGAAAGATGTTTTTACTTCATCCATCCTTTGGTATTGACAGTCAACCTGTAAGATGAAGGCTTCTTCTCTGTTCATTACATATCCTGGCAAAAAGAAAGGTATCATTTCTTTGATGTCATGGTTACGTTTCTCTGCTTAATGATTACAAACGATGATGGTGAATGATGACTTCTTTCTTGTTCTTTTTCTGTCTGTAAAAAGTTCCAGGAAGGAAGCATGAAATACATGGGTCTTCTGTCTCAGCTGTGCAGCAACTTGTCAGCAGCAACAGGAAAGCTCAAGGCTGTCCTATGTGGAAGCAAACAAACTTGGTAGATGAATGAACTGCAATACTAATAGCAAGTCTTGTCTTCCTGTGCAGAACCGCAGTGGTGCCGTGAGTCAGCTGCAATACGAGCTGGGAAAAATCCTGTGTGATGTACATTCTTGTGATGGAGTTGTTATTGCTGGGTGAGTATGACATTGAGCAGTGCTCATTTGCTCTTCACTGTTTGAAATCTCGTGCTGCTTCTTGTACAAATTCAAAAGAAGTACCAGTTTCAGACAAGAAGGGTGACTTTTTTTTTTTTTTTTTCCCTTTGGCCCTATGGTAAGCAATAATTACAGGCATCTACAATCACTTCAGCAGCACAAGTTTTTGTTGTAATGCTATCTTAGGTAAGTATAGTGCTTGTGAAGCCTTTACTTTCCAATGAATTGTATCCATTACTTTGCTGCAGAAATACTCAAAATGAGGCAGATGCATACTGGGAAATGCTTGGGAAAAGAGTAATAACTTTTTTTCTATGAAATTGTTTTGATCACAGAGACAGGTGTGTCTTGGAACAAGATACATTTAGGTTTGTTACTGTTCTCTGCTATTTTTTAAGAGACAGTATGGAGGAAAAACAAACATGGAGAAATTCAACTTCCTTTTCTTCGCAGTGCTAAACTTTGTCAGAACTTTTGTGTTAGTTATTCACTTCTCTTATTCTTTCAAAACACTGTCTTAAAACCATCCCAAACTCTTGGCAGAGATTGCCATGACTCGCATCAGTTGAAGTAAAGTTTTGCTGTATTGTGCTTGCATTCAGTAATTATTAGTCCTGCAGAAGAGGTCACACTAGTAAGTGGAAATGAAAACATCACAGGGCAGAGGACACTGCCCTTCAGTCTACCAGAGTTCTGTATTTTATGACACCACTCCACATTAGTGGCATGATTGTGCATTGTGGAATGAAAGGAAAACTGCCTGTAAAGTACTGTAAAATTCACTCATCAGTTACAGGGAAGGTGACTTGAAATACATCATCTGTAGGTAACTCCCATATACCTTGTGAACCCTTCTGAATTCTGTTGGGCATCTAGGAGCTGATATGCAACCTAGAAGACAGCAGGAATGAAAAGAGAATTTTCAGCTTTATTAGAACCACCGTTGTTTCTGCTATTTACTAGATGCTTTCCCACTTGCCATGCTACTTCACTTGAAGGTCTTGTTTCCTGATTTTTGCTTCTCTGTTGCCTCACTGACTGTTGCTTCTCTTTATTTCCATGCAATTGAAAAAGTGTCTGCCAAAGACACGTGTGGTCTGTGACCTCTGGAGGGGCAGTGCCACACAGTGGTTAACCCAGACAGTGGCTGTGGGAAGAGGCTTGAGAAACTGCAGCTGTACAGCAGGTCTCTCCTTGGCTCCTGCCTGATGTTGAGGCTTCCCTTGGCTACAGAGGCTTTGGTAAGACCCTCACAGGTCCCCAAGTGCTGAGGCTGCAGCTGGGACCCAGCTCTGCAGAGAGCATCCTGCCTTCCTTTGTGCCCTTCAGCCTGGGCACTGTGCTGCCTAGCCTTGGCTGTGGGTCTGCTCTACTGTATCTGCTCTGCTGTCTCTAATGAAACCTCCTCTACTTTTTTTCGGAGCCAGAAGCCCCAGTTGTCATCACGCTGCTGCCAAAATCTCCAGCTCTTCTTTTTCTTCATTTTCTCCATTGTGTTTATATCCAAACAGGCAGTATATAGAAAGTAGGCAGAATAAATTTAGTTCCTAAAGGATTAATAAACAAAGGAGATTAATCCTGAGAATTAAACTCAATTGTCCATACATTAGCCTGGTGTATTGCAGAAGTCAGGCTGAGGTGGTTTCAGACAAAACATTTGTGTTGGTTCCCAGTTCTTGCAGTACTCCTGAGTCTGCTGGTGAGTTGTCCTTTGTTGGCAAAGTGAAGGGAGATGGGGAACTGACATTCCCACAAAATTCACAAACTTAGGTGAGAGACAACAAAGGGAAAACTGGTTTAGGGCTTTCATTCCGATTACTTTTCAGTAATTTTCCTTCTCTAAGAAAACAAATTGTAAGAACGAGGCATCCTTTTATGGAGCTGTGACTATACAGTTGATGGAACAGCATGGGGAACTTAAATTGCAACTGTTTGACTTCACCTGATTGCTAAAATAAATATTTAGAATACTAGAACACAAAAATTATATGACTTCCATTGCTGCTTACCTCTTCCCCCTCATGCTCCTTTGATAGCTTGGATCTCTGAAAGCATCTCGTAAATTGCTGTGAACTAAAAGCTGTTCTATGACTCTCGCCCAGCAGAAGGTGAATTTGTTGTTTTGCCTGTGATGATCAAAGCCTACAAGACAATAGCAGGCTGCTGTCCCCTCAGAAATCTCTTAAAAACTATCCAGCTAATTTAGTAACGTGGAACTGTAAGAAAATATGACTGCTGTTATGAAAGCTGGAAGTATCTGATGCCTGAAATGTCTTCAGACTCACATACAGGTCATTGTTACCCAGCACTTCTCTCATCTTGTGATTTTCACAACCTGAGAGAATGCACTTTTCAGGACTGAGGTTTGCAGTTCATCTGTCAATGAATGATGAAATATTTTTTTTGGCAGGTCTCCAGCACGCCCTTCTCCAATTTGCTTTCTGTTAGTTGCATTGCTGTGGTAAAAATTTGCAGTAGTAAAGAACAAACAAAACAGGCATGGTTAAAACCTGTGAGGATGTGAGTTGGTTGTGCAGGGAAATACTTTGTTCTTTATATACATTTGGTAAGAATTTAGCAGACTGAAGGGTTTTTGTTTTGTCTTTTAAACCCAAACATCACCCACCCCTTTCTCTTCCAACTGTAGTATTGTACTTAATGGCACTGTGCTTTCAAATTTGTCATAAAAGTGTAATGAATCTAGTGATCAATAACTCGCTGTTGCGTTCTTACAGTATTGAAGAAGTAATTTAATAGCTGAGGTTAACAAAAGTCAATTTTCTTCTCAGTATAAATATCAATTATCTGTTACATTTAATGATTATATCTCTAGTTTCGCACGCACTTATGTGCTTAGCTTTACATGTGAATAATCATAGATTACAGCAAGATCTGCCATGTGCATAAAGCTGAAGGGATGTGTGACCTTGCAGCACTGGAGAAATTGGTGGTGATCTTACAGCTAATTCAGCGTGTTGCATTTTATGTGGATTTGTCAGCAGTGGCTTGTGGCATCATGTACCCTTTTTTTTTTCTCTAGACAGGTTGCTGCCCTGGAGAAAAATAGGGCCACTCGGTTGTGAGCAGGTTTTGTGGTGCCTGACTTCGGGGAGCAGCTGCAGCACTGTGTCTGAGCACGGCCAGGCCAGCCAGGCATTACGGGCTGCTTTGTCACTGGGAGCTGTGGCACTGCATAGCAGCTGCTCCCTGCTTTCCAGAGGTGCGGTCGGGATCTTGAGAGATCAGAGGATGGTTCTAAAAATTAAAAAAAAAACAAAACAAAAACAAAAACACCAAAAACAAGAGGAGAGAAGTGTTGAGAGAAATGTTTTCCAGCAGAAATATGTATTTTGGATCTTTGAACTGGCCTGGGAAAACGGTATTTGATCTGAACCTGCGCTGTAATAGACCTGATCTTTCATGCTTCGTTATACTGCTTCAAACTCTGCAGGAAAGCAGAGTGATGCAGCTTTATTTTAGTTGCTGTAGAGTTGTTCTAATCTTTCAAAAAGGGAATTTGTACAGGTTGTGGACAGAGTGATGTATAGCACTGGCTGTGAGTGTAACCCATAGAGACACAGCTTGCCTGAACTGGTCCCAGAGTGGATCTCTTTAATAATCTCTTGCAAAGAGGCAAAGATGAGCTAGACAGGGTTGGCTCTCCCTTAGAGAAATGTGCCTGTTTTCTTGCACTCTCCTGTATTTTCTTCATGCTGCTGCCAAAGCTCAAGCCAGAAGATGGCAGAATATCAAGGATTGATTAAGTGCAACCTGAGCTGTGAGTTGAAGGTGGCTGCAAGCAGCTCTTCTTTCTCAGAGAGCCTTGCATTTACTGGCTGACATCAGATAATTCAATCTGGCCTGCATGCAGAGCATCTTGTGTTTATCATTAAATTTTTATCCCGGCGGTTACGATGCTTGTTTTCTGGGTCAGACCTCGAATCCCTTTTCATTTGAGACAGCGGTGTTTGTGGTTACCTCACTCCCAATCAATGTTGTATTTGCCAGCCTTTCTACAGTTACATGTCTCAGAGGATCTTCTTTAAACATGTTGTCTTCCCCCCCCTCCTTCCAATCCATATTCAATTCAAATGTAGTTTCTTCTTTAAGTCAGAGTTTACTTAAAGCAATTATATGCCTGCTTACTTGGCCTGTATAAATTACTACCGCTGCTTTGGTTCACTGTACTTGATGCTATTGTGTGCTTGGTCTCAGTACAGAATGCCTGCATTTGTTCACCTTCCATTAATAAAATCTTAATCAAATCAGCAAGATTTGATTAAGCAAGAACATATTCAAACAGTGAAATCAGTACTTCTTCTCAGCAGCGCTGACAGACGCACTGTGATGGCTATTTCTAGTCAGAGTTTAGTTCCTCCTTGAGATACAGATCTTGGAGCATGAATCTGGCCAGCACTTGTTGAGCTGTTGTTACATGGTGGATCTCGTGATGAAGCATGTCAGAGGTGAGCTGTGGGCTGTTCTGCTGCATGGCTCTCTGAAAGTCCTCGCCTGTGAATGTCCCAGAGCTGTGCAGAAAGTTGCACTGTGTACACCCGAGCCAAGTCCACATCAGTCCACATCACAGCTGATGTTTTATTGTGCAGTGTTAACTTTGATGCTTGCAGAGAGGGCGATTTGGCCTTTACTGCTGCAGTTTGTGGCTCTGAAAGCTTTCCAGGTGAAAGCAACAGCACTGATCCATAGTCAGACTGCTATTCCAAAGGCACAGAATCGGATGCTTTCTCTTTCCCCAGTTTTCTTTGAACAGAGTGTGGTAGACTGTTAAGGGTTTTCATAAGTGGAGATCTAAGAGCATGCCTGCACTGTTAGCTATTTAGACCTAGTTAGCAGATGCTGCATGGAGCCTCTGCACCTCTCACAGGCAGGCTGGGAGTCGCCCCTGCCTTCTTCTCTTCGTGTTTTAACCTCAGAGGTTTCCACGTTCTCTCATGTAATTACTGCCTCCTTTCCAATAT